GGTGGTGATCAAGTATCCCCCGGTAACTTTCGTGTGAATAGCATGGTAACTCACACATCGGAGACCCGAAACTTAGTCGCTTCCGTTACTGAAATATGTCCCAGTAACTTTTTGTTGTCGAAACATACCCAATGTGAAGTTACCACTACCCCATGCTAAAGTTATCATGCTTCTCATTATATAGTCATTAACCTTCTCATATTATAGTTATCAGGCTTATCATAGTATAGTTATCATGTTGCTCAAGTCATAGTTATCACGCTGGTCATGCCAAAGTTACCAAGCAAAAACAATTATTATCGTTGATATGGCAGAAAAAAGAAAGGTTAAAATAACCTTGTTTATATTCAATAGACAACAACTAAGGGTGGCTCAGTTGGTTATTGGGCTCAAACTCTAACGAATAGACCTGGGTTCAAGTCCCCTTTCCAACACTTTTATTTTCTTTTCATATTATGTAGCCAAAAAACCAGAAAAAACCACTAGCGATTTATTATTGGCGTATACGGTTTTTGAGAGAAGAAGAAAAATCGGTGGAATCGAGCGTGCTCGCGAGAGGAAGCTACGGTCGTGCGGATCTGTCGCTAACGACCAGTCGACTGGTCGTTAGCACAGTCCTTTCTGAAAATACTGTGCTACGCAGCATCTTCCTACATTGAAGACATGACCCAACATGGAGGCAGAGAATGCAGAAAGCAGCTTACCGATGGTTGGGATGGTGGTGACGATCTCTCCGAGCTTGAGCTTGTAGAGGATGGTGGTCTTACCAGCGGCATCAAGACCAACCATGAGAATCCTCATCTCCTTCTTGGCAAAGAGGCGGCTGAACAGCTTGGTGAACGTGAGCCCCATCTCTGCTCCTGCACCACAAAGAACAGTCGGAGAATTTTTAGACAAGATCCAGAGATCTACACAGATCCACTCTGATCCACCCACATCTCCCCACGCACACACACCCCTACGCCCAAGCAAATGGAGCACAGCCCACAGAATTCAGGAGGAATGAGTGCAGTCCCTCCCAGCCAAGAGATCCGCAAAATTCTCAATCTCTCTCCTTGCCGATCTACGGCGAGTGGCGGAATCGTATCGGATTCGTGAGACGGAAAGCCAAAGGAAACGAACAGATTCGCCAATACTGGCGCGGAAGCCCCGCGGGAGGGGAAACAACCCAGCCCGGACTCCATGGAGTCGACGGGCAGATTCGCGTGATCCACCGAACAACACGCGGTGCGCATCGACGGAATCGGCAGGGCGGATCAGATCCGCGGGCTACGAGGCGGAATTAAGGGGGGAAGCTGAAGGCAGCGGCGCTCACCGAGGTGGAGACGAAGGCTTCGAGGTCTCGGCGCTCCGGTGCGGCGTGCTCCTCCTGATCTCGGGGGAGACGGGCGTGGGAGTTGGAGCTTGGAACCGCACGGAAGAGATGGCTGTCGTGCAGTGCGGTGCGGTGCAGACCGGGCGGCCCGAAGGCGGATATATAGAAGGGCGCGAGGCCCATTCCCACGTGGCCTTTACACCGCGCCCAGTCCGCCCGCAGCCCGCACCGCATGGACACCTTCCTCCGGGGCTTCCACTGGCGTGCGGGCCTCATCGGCTCCACTCAGGGTAAGGATCGATTTTTTATATTTTTTTGAGAGGACGGTAAAGGCTCGATTTTTTATTTTATTTTTTGAAAACAGCCTACAAGGCCTAAACAAAGCTTACAGGTTGATACTCCCTCCGGTCCTCATTAGTTTGCGTATTAGAAAAAACGATTTTTCCCTCAATGCTCTGCGTACTAGCAGGTTTTGGCACTTCTTTCCAATTTTGCCCCTCCTTTCCAACTTCGCATGCGTGCCTGCAGTTACTCCCGTCTCTCTCTCCCATGCACGTCCTTCGCGTCTTCCCAAGGCAGCCAGACGCCTACCTCTTCCTCTCCTGCCCACCGGTCCCATCTCAGCTTCCCATTCTCCACATCCCACTCTCCCTTCTCCTCCACATCCTGTACATCTCCATGGATGAAATCCATCCATCGTGGTTGTGGGAGGACAGCCAGCCTGTAGAGGATAGCGAGACCATGGATGAAAGCTTGCTCGCGGGAGGACAGCTTGGTCGCGGAGGACAGCGAGCTGTACGTGGAGGACAGCGAGCTCGCGTACGGAGGCGTGCTCCCCGCAGGCGGCGCGCTCGCGGACGGTGGCGCGCTCCCCGTAGGCGGCGCGCTCGCGGACGGTGGCGTGCTCCCGCTCGCAATGGGCGGCGCGCTCGCGAACGGTGGCGTGCTCCCGCTCGCAGAGGGCGGCGCGCTCGCGGGCGACGTGTTCCCGGTAGGCGGCGCTCCCGTGGACGGCCACGCACTCGTGGAAGGCGGCGCGCTCTCGGACAGCGACCTGTGCCAGGAAGGAGGCGTGTTCCCGGTAGGCGGTGCGCCCGTGGATGTCGGCCTGCTCCCGCTCGCGGACGGCGACGCGCTCGCGGACTGCGGCATGCACCCGGACGACGGCGGAGGCGTCCACGCGCTTGGGCATGTCGTACGCGCGCTGGTCGACAAGGTGAACGCGCTAACCGACAAGGTGCACCAGCTCACCGAACTGGTGCGGGCGCTCACCGATGCGGGCATCAAGATGGACGGTGGCAACGTGGAGGACGAGGGCCACCAGGCGTTCGTCGACCATGGTGGCGGCAACGACGGGCACAAGTGCGGCGACCGCGACCCGGTATGTGCCAGCGAGATGGTCGATGGCGACCCATTGCCGCCGCTGGAGCAATTCTCTGTGCCTCCCGGCGCAGAAGAGGTTAGGCTAGAACTGATGAGCATTTACTATCAAGATATTTTGACTAAAGATGAACTGAAGCAAATTTTAAAATGATCCAACATTGATCATGGACTTCACCAGTAGTGATTCTCTCATTTGTTGAACTTGGCCGAAGAATATGTGATGATGAACTGATGGTTGCGGTAGTGGTTCTATGTTAATTTTGTGGTCGATCATTTGTATTCGAATTGAAACTTTGATTATGTTAATTTTGTGGTCGATCATTGGATGTAATGTTAACTTTGATCATGTGATGTTAATTTGCACATTCTGTATATTTTTACTTTGTTCAAATTGGCAGTATGCTCAAACCAAACGTTCATTCTCCTTACCACAAAAGATGGATTACATGATCTCATTACATCAACCAGACAACATAGCACTAATCTTACAACAAAAGATGGATTGCATGGTCGCATTACACCAACAAGACAACATAGCACTACTCAAGTAAAAATGCCCTCGCTTGGTCCACAATAGATCGATCACAAGGCAGCGTCACCGGTAAGATACGACGATCTTGAAGGACTTGCTTCCTCATGTGTGGCACCTTGTAGTGCTGGCCTCCTTTGTCCTTTAGAACCTCGTGCATGCAAGATTGTAGAGTGAGAAATATTCGGTTGCACCTCTCGGCGGGGTACTGCTCAAATGCTTGGCACACCTTCATAATTATGTCATCGATGGAACCTGGAAATAGCTTCTGGAACAATGACTGTAAGGCAGCAAAGAAACCAAGATCAAGTATGTTAAGATCCGGCGAATTCGGTGGCTGACACACCAAACGAATGTCCCATCCATCCGCTTGGGCTGCGGCAAGGAAAACCGGATCATCAACATTCACGTGAGTCCTAGCATTATCTTGTTGGATGAATATAGGACGCCCACGTTCAGAAGGAGGCCACTTCGCCTTGATGGCAGGGATAACCTTGTTCACCAAGAAGTCTCTACTCACATCCCTTGTCACCTTGGGGATGACCTTTGTCACAATTGTCCCAGCTAGACGGTTAGGACTATCCCTTTTAGCCGCCTCCTCAAAAGTGAACGGCCATATACCAATTTTACCATCAAACGTCACATTATCATTCACATCAAAGCGAGGGCGTGCTACAGCTACGAGAAACATAACCCTCTCTATATAATTCTTGTTCTGCGTGAACCGTTCCGGTTCTTCCTCATCATCTGCTAGGTATAGCTTGAGAGACTTCTTGGTGCGATAGAACCATTTCTCGTCTATATGAATGACATTGTACATTCCTTTAAAACACGGCTCTTCTGGTAGGCTCTCTTCCTGAAACTGCGAGAGGCACCACTCAACCCTACGTCTCTTGTTCAGATCGGTGAGAGTTCCCTTGATGGCATTGCTGTGACGCCTAATCTGCTTCTCTTTCAACCTCCTCCAAACCATGGTTTTGGACACATTCAACTCGTTTGCAAGGTCTTTGATGATTGTTCTCTTCCTCTTGTCGACTGCCTTTATAGTCTCTGAGTCGATGGCTATCCTCTTACAACCACAATTTTTTGGCTTCTTGTTCAACACTCCAAGCATCCCTCCATATAACTTTCCCTTGTTCCATAAGTCCTGGACAGTTCTCTGCGGCATACCGGTCAAACGAGACACTTCCTTGGTCACTCCACGCTTCATAATTCCTAGACTTGTCCTCTCCAACAACATGCCATAGACGGTGAGCTTAGCTTTGTCACTCCACTCACGCGGCTGCGGCGGCTGCGGATTATTCTCAACTACAAAAAAGGAGACATGATCAATTTTATGCAACCCAATTTGCTAGCATGTCACAAAAAATGAGTAAAATGTGTTGCCATGTCAAAAAAAATTTATGGGCTCACCATCATGGCCATTACCCTCATGCTCGTCACCTTCCGCACCTTCATTGCTCTCATCACCCGCGCCATGGCCGTCATGACTAGAAGCGCCTACTTGATCAACATAAAGTCAGTTTTAATTCCAAAGGTTAAAATAGAGACTAAACATCTGTGGGGCGCAAGTTTCTCACCATGCATGGGGTCACCCGCGTAGCCATTGTCCTCGTGTCCCCCACCGGCATGAGCTTCGCCATCCTCTGCGCCATGCCACTCGCCTCCACCACCGCCATGTCCATGATTGCCGTTGCTACCACCGGCGGCGTCTCCATCTTCAACGTCCTCGCGCGCAACTTGGTTCAAGTCAGGAAGCTGGCGCCCTCCACCGCGACCACGCCCGGCCATGCCAACCCTCCCACGACCGCGGCCCATATGGGGCGGCGCACCTCTGCCATGCCCTCTTCCAGCCACGACTTGATGCTCTGGCTGCCACTGGATCGTGCCAGCGCAAGCTCGCCCGCGACCGGCGAGGCCTAGCCGTCCACGGATAGAGGCGCCTCGTCCATGAATAGGGGCTTCATGTCCTCCGCCGGCGACTTGCATGCTTCCTCCCCCGGCGTCTTGCACGCTTCCTCCGCCGGTGACTTGCAGGCCTCTGCCGCGGCCAGCGTTGCGGAGCCCACGGCCAGTCAAGCCTAGACGAACGCGGCCACGGTTGTGGCTGGTGCTTCCTCCGCTGGACGGGTCATCCTCGTGCATGCGGTCGGTGCGGCTAAGACCAACGCCGCCACTGCCGCCGTCAGCGTCCGCGCCGTGTACCCGGTCTGTGCGGTTCGGACCAGCACCGCCACTTTCTCCTTGCGCCTCCATGGTGCACTGGTTGTTGTTTCCGTTGTCGCAGCTTCCTCCTGGGTCCTCCGTGTCGTGCGAAGGGTTGTTTCCGCCGCTTCCGAATCCGCCATTGTTCTGCTGGGCGGCTTCATCTTCTGTACACGTTCAAAAGAGATCAAACAGAGCAAAATAACCAGAGTAAAATCAAACAACAAGAATGAGTTCATACCGCCGTCGCTCTCCTCGAATACGTAGACGTAGTTCATGTCCTCCGCATGGCCATCGTATTGATTCTCCACCTCGTCCCAATTGATGGCCGTATTGAGGTCGAAAGTAGCCATTGCATTCCCGTGGCAAGAGAGAGAGAGGAGCAAAGAGAGGGAAGTGAAATTTTTGTGTGGTTTGCTT